AAAGGTGCTGCATATTGCAGAAGTGGGGTCAGTAAAATCCGTGTCGAGGATTGTAAGTTCCCAGATTCCCCTGGTTATTTTCAGAGCTCTTGGACAAATAGATGAACTTAACCATGGTTTCCAAAGCGAAACAACTTGAATTAGGTGGGATTTAAACGTCAAAATTGCATTCTGAATCCCGATATTCTTGAAAAAAATCCCTTTATAGGTGTGTTTCATAGCACCACAGGGCTGTGTGTGTGATGTGGAACAAACCACTGGTGCCCCAGCCCTTGGTGTAAGACTGAAATGAGCTGCCCTCAGACAAAGGAACTGAGAGCAGAGCAAGGACCTGTGTCCTTTCACACTGCCCAGGTTGAGGAGTTCACCTATTCCAGGGTGGCAACAGCCTTTCTTTTTTTTAACTCCAGCCCGTGTGGTCTATTTTGGTCTCAAATCCTTTCCAGATTCAAAAAGCCTAAGAGGGTTCAAGGACTTGAAATTTTAGCCATCTGTTCAGTGTGTGCCTGGAGCTATTCTGGAGGGTTCTTAGCTGGTGGGGAGGGATGTTGCCTACTCAACAAAGTGCTAGTGAAGTGCCAGTTGGGTGGGTTGGGGAAGGAAGGATCTGCAGATAAACATAAAGCAGAATATCTGTGCATTTGGGAGTGCTGGCAATGTCAGTAAAGCACCCAAGGGCTGCACTGTCGGGCACAGCCTCTGCTGGGTTAGATTTCCCAGCGAGCCAAAAGCCTGGGATTATTGCTGTTTTCTAAACAGCATCATATCCTTGGAGTCTGGTTGCTTAGTCTTTTTTCTCTTCTAGATACAGCACACAGAAGACATGGAAAATGAAATAGATGAGCTGTTACAGGAATTTGAAGAGAAAAGTGGAAGGACTTTTCTTCATACTGTCTGCTTTTATTAAAGCACATCTGTCTCTTAGGCCTTAATACAGATGAGGGAAGCATGTGTTTAAATTTCTGATTATACTGTATTTTCCTGGAAAATGAATATTGATCTTTTTTTGTTTGTTTGTTTGTTTGTTTAAAAACTCCTTTTCAGTGTCTTTTTGTTTCAGGTGTTCTGTCACAGGTAGGCAGAGGTACTGGTTGGGCTTGTACATATGAAATGATGAAAAGTATACACAAAGGCCACCTATTTAAAAATTAAATCCAAGTTCTTTTCTAAATCCTACTTTAATTATTGCAAGTAGGTTTTTAATTATAAAGAGAATGTTTCTTGAATATAAGTTTATAATGTATTTTTCCAGCTTACAAATTTATTTTATTTCAGTTGTGCTTTTTTTTTTTGGCTTTTTTTTTTTTTTTTTTTTTTTTTTTCAATTTAATGTGACAGAATGGCTGAGGATGTGAATGGAACAATTAAATAACTGAGTATCTGTATATTATTAGCTATAAAGTTGGAAGCATCCAATAAAAATGAAAAACCCCTAAGTTTGTCTGTTTTCAAAGTAGCAGCTGAGGAAGTGTCTTGTTTTTGAGGTAAAACACAAAGTATCTGTGTGAGATGACAAAAACTGAGAGGCTGTAACTGTAGCAGTCAGGGCCCAATGAATAAGGAAGATGGGGAGAAATGGCAAACTCCACTGTCAACAGAAATAATTTAAATTTGGGTGGGTTTTTTTTAACCAAAGTAGTTTTGAATAGAAGCATTTTCCTCCCTTACAGCAACAGTAAATGTGGTTGTTATGGCTCGAAATCCAGGAAGTGGGTACGTGTGCACAAACAGAGCAAAAGTCTGCTCAGACTGATAAAAGTGAGACCAAATTATTGCACGTTCAAAATGTGACTGGTAGAGCCTTGTTGCTTACAGGCAAGAGAGGATCTGAAAAGTTGTTTTGTTTAAAGGAACCTGTGAACAATTTGGAGCAAACCAGGCTCGTCTGGGGTAGCTGAGGACAACAAACAAAGTGAAGCAGCATCAAGTGGGGTTTGTGCTCCTGGCTGGGGTTTGTGCTCCTGCCTTCTCCCATTCCATCACCGACCTCTGGCAGCTGGCAGGAATTACCTCATTTTCCTTGTTAACTGTTTTGCACATGCAGGGGTTTGGTGCAAGTGCTTTCAGCTCAGGCCAGCATCACCCCTCTGTGCAGCCAACTTTGTCTGTGTGGCAGTAAATCGTGAGGTGATGCTGCTTAACCTCTGTCAGTGAACACACAGGTATTAAAGGAGCAGCATTTCGGGTTCCACACCTGAGAACTGCAAGTCCCTGTTGGAAAATAACTTCTTGGCAGCTGCAAATCCCGAAGTCAGGCTCCCAAAGAAACCTTACACCTCACTGCTCCTGGGATCTTGGGGGTTGGCTGTGGTTTCAACTGCTTTGTGGTAAAACTTAGACCTCTGCCAGCTCAATCCGTGTCCTGGACAGTGTCCAAGTGGGTCAGTGCATCATCCTCGGGTCCTGGGAGTGTTTAATATCCCTGAATTACCTGTGCTGTTTTGCCTGTCTGTTAAAAATACTTAAAAATGTCTTGGAGAACGACTAGATCAGAACAAATAGGGGCTGGGGAGCTGGAGCAGAAGCTGTGATAAGGTTTGCAGGGTGTGTGTTTTCCGATTGGCTTGTCCTGTCCCATTTTGTTCCTGGAGACTCTGTGTTTGATGGATTTCCTTGGCCTCCTCTGCTCCTCCTCGTTTGTCTGTCTGATACCATCTCTGTTACCATGGGGATATTTACAGCCAAGGGAAGGAGATGGTTCTGTGAGGACTGAACTGCTTTAGTTGATCTCTTTAAAAAGGCATTCCAAGCAGGCACAGTGCTGAGCATTTTGAGCAGAGTTTTCCTTCCCCATGCGGTACCAGCACTGAGTTCTGCTCTTGGCAAGGTGAAACCTGGGGAGTGCTTGAAAAATGTTTTTGCTTTCAACTTAATTCGTCCTAAACAGAGCTCTTTGTCGTTATTTCACAGGAAGGCAGGAAAAACCCACACAGGATGTTTTAACCCGAGTTTTGTGTGTGTATATGGAGATTCACAGCAGAGTCCTCTTTATTACAGAAAGGTTGCACTTCTCGTGTGTGTGGCTGGCAGAGAATTCTGGCTGCTGTAGTGCTAAGTATGGAATAATTAGAAATTCACTGCATCTCTTAACTAAAACCATAATAGAGTCTACAGGATGTTGCAGAACAGTTCTTTCCATCCTAAACATTCTGTTCATAAGGCAAAGCAGCCCTGGGAGCTGGTCATTTGTCACTTGTTTATTTACCAGTGTGCAGAAGGATGGATGGGTGATCTGGAAGGAGAAGTCAGTATTCTGAATGATCCACAGTCAGTATTTCAGCTTTCTGTGAGCATAACTTGTTCTTCAGCTAAAGCTGTTCATACTCTGACACGTTACTTCTCATTTAACTTGAAAAATTTGTGCATTTATGTAGTTACTTTGTCTCCACACGCTTCATTTGCGTTGAAATCCTCCGATTTTAAAAGCTCAGTTTGTACAGGAATTTTATGGTGTCCTAGTCTGGTTTGAGATACACGAAGTGTACATGTATGGGTATAAAACTGTGGCTAAACACAGGGTCGAAGCTATTTTCTGTGTCAAAAGATTTCAAGAGAAACTTTGGTTTAAAGGAAGTGGGAAAAATATCTGGGATATTCTCTCAGCTCCCCTAAGGCCAGGAGAGGTGGCTTTAAAATGCCTAATTCGTGGTGATGGCTCGGAGACGAGGGACATGGACTGGTAGCCAGGCAAAAACTTCACTTCCACGCAATTCCTTGGGACTTGTCTTCAAGTTCTCTGCTCTCTCCTGTGATTTTATTTGGCTGTTACTTCAAAAATGCTTCTTTTTTCTGCAACCAGCAGAGTAACCAGCTGCATTCTCTTCACATTAGTCCTTCTGAGCTCTGCAAATCAATGGTAGAATCCACTTCTGAGCTCAATAAGAAGTGGAAGTAGCTGAGGGCAGAGGGTTGTTGAGGAGAGAACTCTCAGGAGTTGGGCAGAGTGTGGCAAGAGATGCCTTCCTAGGCATGAAGTGCCTGGCTTGTCAAACGTTTCATGTGTGTGGTTTAAATTAAAAATCAAAAAAAAAAAAATCATCTGCAATGCAATCTGTGCTCTAATTTGAGGACACCATTTAGTGGTTTTAATTGTGTGACAGTATTTTGGTATTTTCAATACCCAGTAGTAGGTTAATGACTGTTCCTTGAAGAATGGAGTTTATATAACACAAGTCATTACATAAGAAGGCTGATTGTGGCCTGAGGAGCAGGAGGAAAACAAATATGCAAAAATGCAAAACCCAGCACCAGCAAACTCTGCTTTGACGGCCCTGAGGAGCCTAAAAAAATTAAATACCTGGGCTGTAGCAAGGTGAAGCTCACCTTGAGGAGGGCTGTGAGGACGGGGAGGTGAAGGCACTGCAGGGCACTCCAGCCATCAAGCCCTGTGCTACCACGCATTTCCCACGTGGTGGCCGGAATCGCTTCCCTTCATCCTGGTTCACAGGAAAAGGAGCAACAACCAAACAAGCAAAAAGTTACTGGCTGGCCACTTATTTTCTTTTAATTTCCCCAGAAGCTCCTGTACGTGGCCTGAGCTGGACTGACCAACACCGCGGTGAAATAAAGCCGTGGAGAACCCGAAGCACAACCTCTTCCTTGGCCCTTCCGTCTGGGGTTTGACAGACGGGACAAAGTTGTTGGTATTCGTGTCCCAAAAGCGAGGGGGGTCTCCTGTGTCTGCACCATCCCAGCTTTCCTCCAGGGAGGTGGGATGTGCTCAGTGTGCTCGGGACAGGGCAGGGCACCCTCAGCCTTCCTCCAGCGCCCTTTTGGGCGCTTTCCCCGGGGCGGGGGGCGCGGGGCCGGGACCCCCCCTCCCAAAGGGCCGCTCTCCGTGCGGGAGCAGCGGGCGGAGGGAGGTGCCGAGGGAAGGCGTGTGCGCGGCGGAGCCCGGGGCTCGCACCCACCGCACGGGCCGTGCCCGGACCCCCGGGCGGGCGGGGGGTCCCGGCGGGGGATGCGGCCGGTCCCGCATCCCCCTCCCCGGGAGGCGAGAGGGGCCGGGGCCGACCCCGGGCGGAGGAAGGGCGGGGTGAGGATGGCGTGTGGGACTCGAAACGCGGCCAAGCGCCGCTGCCGGGGCTCCGCGTGCGGCTGCGGGGCGGGGGGAGCCCCGCAGGGCCGGCCCGCAGAGCTGCCGCCGCCGCTCGCCATGAGCCGCTCCCGGAGCAGCGCCTCCCCACGTAGGTAAATGCCCGGGGTGGGGAGGGGGCGGCCGGCGCTGCCTGGGCGCATCTCCCCGCTGCATCCCGCATCCCTCCCCTGCGTCCCGCATCCCTCCCCCCCGTGCGGGGCCGGCCGGCGGTGCGGAGCCACCCGCGCCCGGGAGGGGCTGGGCCGGGGGCTGCCGGCGCGGAGCGAGCGGCGGGGACACGCAGCCCCGAGCCGGGAGGGTTTGCGGGGGCTTGTTTTTGGGGCGGGTGGGCGCGCTGATTTTGGGGGTTGGGGGTATATTTTATTTTCAATTCCATTTCGCAGCGCTCCGGAGCGGGGATGATTTTGGGGAGGGTCGGGGGAGAGGATGCAATGAGGCTCCCCCGGAGTGGGTGATTTTTTTGCAGCCTGCCTCCTCCTCCTCCTCCTCCAGCCTCTCCCCCCCCCCGCACCCCGGGTTTGGCTGCCTCGCTTCCCAGTTGCTGCATGAAGGCTGTGCTTGTGGCGGCGGGTGCCCGCTCCCGGAGCCGCGCACCCGCCGCGGCGGCCGCGGCCGGGGGGGAGCCCGGGGCCAACGAACGGGGGGAGCACCAATTTTTTTTTTTTTATTACTATTTATTTTTTTATTATTTTTTTTTTATTATTTTTTTTTTA